GTGGTTGTTATCTGCAATATTTGTTAAATTTAATTTGATTACTTTGTTCCTGCAAAATAAAAGAGAAAGAAATTTTTGTGAAAACACAACTGGGTGAGACATTTACATTAGAAACAGTCTGTGTTGTGGTGCAATCAGAAAATTATTTTCATAATATTTGTAGATTATTTAATTGCAAAAAAAAAAAAAGTTCTAAAAAAACTATGAAATATTTATATTATGCATTTGAATGATCACATTTGATTTCTGGTGATTAATACTGGAGAATGAGTTACAGCAGATATTTTGAGAGAGAAGACAGAGTGTGTGTGTCCAAACCTTTTGTACAATGCTACCTAGCAATCACTAAGTCCCCTACAGCGGTCAACAACCAACAGGCAGTGAACTAGTACTGGTCCATGGACCATTTGGTACTGGCTGCACAGAAAGAATAAACATTGTTTTCCATTTTATTGACTATTGTCGTCTTCTTTATGGTGTTTTGTTATATCTGTGACTGACACCAAATCCACCCACCATCCATGGAAAAATTGTCTTGCATGACACTGGTCTGTCTGGCAAAAAAAATTGGGGACCACTGCCCAAACAGACAAGGTGGGGTAACCACATACAAGCTGTCTGTACATTACAAAACATGACAAAAAGTACTTTAGATGTGAGTATAGCAGAAAACATCCAATCAGTTAAGTGCCATACGTGATACACAATTGGCTGATCATATCTCTTTTGCTTTATGACTGACTTGGCAGAATATTTTCCTGCAGTATATTGCCATTTCATTCTGCAGTAGATTTGTTGCCAACTAAGGCTATAAGACCCAGTCTGTCCCACTATTCAACCCATAGTTGTGGAGAGAAGAGATGGATTTATGTCTTTCCTAAGGGTATTTGTGCATAAGTGAATGTAACAAACTGGACTGCAATTTGAACTCGGCTCTCCAATTTTTAATTCTGAGCTATAAGACATTACAACACACTGGGCATCTACTGCGTTGTAGCATACCTACAGATGATAATGAGTATGTCCCCATTCACGTAAAAAAAGTAGTAAATACTGTATGTTGGTCTGCAGTTGGAGATTCATTATGGCATTCACTTGACTCACTTTTAGCAGTTGACTACTATATGCCACTGGCGAATCTTATATGTGTTGTTCTTATCCTAATTATTATCATTCATTACCAACCTTTGTGTGATTATTCTATTCAGTAACCTTCTTTAGGTTGCAACATACAGAAAAAATTAATGTATATAAAAAACACGCTATCAGTACAGCTGGATATAAAACAAGAAATCACAATGTAAACATATGCACCCCTTCACCATTCACTCTTCTTTTGGTCATTTCATATGACGGACATATTTTTATATGGCTTTTACATTTCCCAATTAGGGTTTTACCCAAGATCACTTTTTGTGGTCTTGGTTTTACCATAACATTTATTTTTTCTTTAATTTCAGCTGCTAATGATAGGATTGATTATGTTGAGGCATATTTAACTATGATTGATCAACTAGTACCAGTGAATGTCACCAGTACTTTGTCATGATCAGGGCCGCCACATACTACACCAGAATCCCCCAACCGCAAGTGGGGAGTCTGATTGGGGGCTCCAGGCATTGCTTTGTGACCCCCACTATCTTATCAACATTTGCTTTTTTTTTTTTTACCTACATTTATATATATTATAAAATAAAATAAGCACAACTGACTATTAAAGGATGAAAAACTTTTAATATCCATTCTGGACTCTTTATTTTTTTCATACAAATCCATGAATGTCTTCTTCTCACGTTAAGTCTCAAAAATACTGTATAAAATTCACTATTTTTTTTTATCAATGATGTTGAAAGTGTTAAATTTATTCAACTTTTTAACAAGAAAAATCTCAACTCGATGTTAAAAATGGCCACAAAACATTGTTGATTTATTTAAGAATGAATGATCTATTAATTTGTATTTAGATACATTGTATTTAGGAGGAGGCATGGTGGAGTAATGGATAGCTTCTCAGATTGAGGAATTGGAGAGCCACGTTCGAATTCCAGTCAAATCCATTACATTCACTTATGTGCTAATACCTTTGGGAAAGGTAGGAATCCTCTTCTTCTCCCCCCAGCTATGGATAAATAGCAGGACAGACCATGTTCTTTAGCCTTGGATGGCAATTGGTCTACCACAGAAAGAAATGGCAACCTACTGCAGGAAAAAGTCTGCCTCGTCAGTCATCTATCGAAAGATACATGATTGCCTAAGTGTGTATCACACATGGCACGTAACTGAGTGACTGTATTTATTTTAAAATTTTTCAAATTGAATTGTTCATCTATATTGCATATGATCCATTATTGTACATAATTAGGTTACAATAAAATCTGTATTTTATATCAATTCGACCGTATAAAAATTTAGATGTAATTATGATAATTCTTTTTACAGTAATGCCACTAATAATAATAATTGCATATCTGTTTATGAGCAGTAGTGGAATAGAATGGCCTGGGGTTGAGAGTGTTGTTCTTGAACAGACTGGATTACCTGACCTTGAAGTATTTCAAACTGGACCTTACTTGCAATGTTATGCGAGTCTTTTATCAAAACAGTTCACAGTCTTTTGCACATTTAGCTGTAATTAATATAACTGGCATATCCTTATCAAAATGAGTGTCATGACAGAGTAGAATGGTCTTTGCATATTTCTTGCTTAGTATCACTTTCTTGCTGTGCTGTGCTCTAATATAAAACAAAATTTAACTTCAATATATTTACTAGTCACTCAGCATGTCATTTAAGTAAATAATATTATTATGAATTTGGGTAAGATAGAAATAATATCTGAAATAAAATTTTTGTTATAGTATTGTTGGAGACAAAATTAACCTACAGGAGGGACTTCAATTTTGTATATAAGATGTAGTGTGTTTTTTTTATCTATTTCTTGTAAAAATAAAAGTTTAAAATGCATATTTAAAATATAGTAACTCCCACTGGTTGGATGTGGCAAGCCTGTTACTACTTCCACACAAAGTGCTCAGACAAATTACATTCCCTGGTCCCACCAATACAAACCTTCACAGCAAATACATGTCATGCCACTTACATAAGTTGCAAACTAGCTACATTCCTTCCATATTCCCTTGGTAAGAAGTAAGTTCCACTTGATTACCTTCTTCTTGCCAACCACTGCTCTGTGGAACCGACTCCCAAAAGGATGTTTTTCTGATCACTACAATCTTAACCTGTTCAAAGCTAGGGTCAACCATTATTTTCCACTCCTGACATAACCCTCTACCTTACTGTAAGAAAAAAATAAAAAGTTATCAAATATCAGTTTTAGTTCCAAATGTTCTCCTTATTATAGGCATGACTTAGACTTATTTGTTCCAGATTGTTATTAGCTCCCAAGCAAGTTTTGACAATATTTTGCTTTTTTTTTATTTTACTTTCTACAAACATTTCTACACTCTGGTAAATCCTCTTTTTCCTTGTTTGTAAATGTCAAATCCAGCCATCTTGCTTAGATTGGGTCATCAGTCTTAATGTCAAAATTCCAGATTATCTTACAAATTTCCTTTTGACAGCCATTAGTTTACATAGCTCTTTGAGAAGTTTTGAAGAACTTTTGGTCAAGTTCTTCTCTACCTTTCATTCAAAAGCATTATAACTGACAACTGATGGTCGTCCACTTCTGGGCTTTGATCTAAAAGACAAATCATCCCCACTGAAACAGTTAAACCATTTTTGGGAAGCACAGTCAGATATTTTTTCATTTCCTTCTTCATCCCAATTATTCCAAGTAACCTCCATAGCTTCTAGACTCAATTGAAAACAGGAAGTTGAAAGCAATAAAAGAATAGGAATAAAGAAAACAGAAGATGACAACTGATGCTGCATATAAGAATTAAATCCTATATATATTTTTTAACCAATGAAAACCCATCAGAAGGTTTCTTTGATAAACAATAATTTCCAATGCAAATACTACCAAAATACTGGCAGATGGAGTTGCATACCTCCTACATGTTATTTTTGGACCAATTATAAAATAATAACTTTCTTCACCATTCCTGTAAATGTGAGAACAAAATTTTTACAAGACAGTGTTAAATTATTTTCCAACTAATGAAAACTTTGTATTCAAAAAGTTCTCACTGTGAAATTAGATTTTGAACCCCCCGATATATATATATAATATTAGTGGAAAATATACATACATATGCAAAATATATAAATACCCATACATGTATATTTTTAAAAAAAAAAAAATTCCAAGAGGAAGAATCCAGGTAGAACTCAATGTCTAGGACAGAGTAAGGATATAATAAAAAGCCTTAAACACTAATAAATTACAAATATAAATTATGACCATGGAATATTAGTGTTTAAGTTTTTTATTATATATATATATATATATATATATATATATATATGTATATAAAAGCATACTTCTTCTCAGAGGTCAAACCAGTTTGAGAGGGTAGCTTGGTCTACATGTGTGTGCATGCACACATGCCTTGTCCATGCACACAACAGAAGGGATTAACCAGCAACTGCCTACTAAACCTTTGTCGACGAACTCACAAACACATTAGGTTTACCATCATAAAGTAAGTCTGTTCCCACATTTCACACCCCACTAAGAACACTTAATTACTTGATATTCAAGGCAAGGAAAATTTTATTGTCATTGTATATTTTTGAAAAGAATATATAAATGTTGTTTCAACTGATGTTCTGCTTCCACTTTTCTTTCAGAAAATAAACTTTTTTTATGTTTCATTTAAAAGATGTTGTTGTTGTTGCTAAATTCTTGGAATCCCAACACTCAGATGGCAATTCAAACCTAGGTAAATGAATCCAAACATGCATTTAAATTTTTGAAGATCAAAATTTTCTTGGAAAGCAAGAAGCTGGAAGAGAGTTCCACAAGCAAAAAGTTCAATAATACTAACTATTAATGTAGAACCTCTGTAATTAATGCTATTAGTAAAAGGGAGATTAACTTCAGAGATTCTATGAGAACTAGTGTATGGCTATAATACCTCTTCT